AAAAGGTGAAACCTAAATAGAAAGGATCTAAATAAAGTAGATTTGATGAATGCAGTAATACAGAAGCCAGGATTTTAACAACAGCAAAGCCTGTTAACAGCTTAAGGTAGAGAGCTGTGTATCTGTGTTGGAAAAGGCATAGAGTGGTTCAGTATCATCTTCCTGTAGCGGCCCTGAAATAAACCTTTGGTAAAGGACCTTTTCAGCTCCCTTCACTATCCTCCACAGAACTGTTTTTGCTGCCATGTTGTCAATATCATCTGCAGAATGTAGAAAGGTTGGTTGATTATGGCATCAGCAGCAAATGGTTTAATATTTGAGCATCGATGAGCTCGTAAAGTTTTGCATCCATCCAACCAGTAAGATGGAACACTTCACAACATGGGAGCACACAAGAATAAAAATTGACTTTGCTTTTATATGTTGCTGTGAATTTGAGGCACACACAAAGCACAAGCTTGTGCATCCTTTGCACTTTAATTACTTCCTGTAGAGTGTATATATTAATTTGCTTCTGTACATTTTATGCGTATTTGCATCCCAAATCTGTTCACTAACATAATTCCTGCCTTGAGGCCTGCAGACATAAAACCTGCAGGGACATTACAGATAAAAATCAACCTGCCTCGTTTTTCCTCCCTTCGATATTTATGCAGCTTTTATTGTCAGCAGTTCTGTTTCAGCATCAGTATTGTGAGCATGTAAGCCTCAAAGTATATTTCCTTGGAATATTCAAAGGACAACCTTCAGCTTTACTTTAACAATGATTTTTTTCGTCCTTCACCGCCCGATAACATCCCTTGGTGTGTGATTTCCTGCTTTTGTTCTTCTTTGACGTTGACTTTTGTTCGGAAATACCATTTCCATTTAGGTGTGGTTCATTTAAGCACAGGCGGGCTACAGAATGGAAAAGGTTTGAAAAACCTGTAACATATCAACCTACACTGAAAAAAATAATGCAACCGTGTTTGGCATTTATTTAATCATATTTAGTTACTTTAATACAATTGTTTCATATTAGCAGGGTAGGACATTAAAACAATTGAGTTAAAGTAACTAAAGATGATTAAGTAAATGCCAAAAGCAGTTGCATTATCTTTTTCAGTGTAGATAGGAAAACTTAAGCATTAAGAGGTTATTTTTACTGTTATATCAATGAGAGTAAACACAGATGAGTATATTCTCTCCGTAATGGATTAGTGTTACTCTGGTGTTGGAGTCTATGGTTTCATATAAAAAATGGCCAGCAATTGTATGGATTTGATGCTGATCTGAAGCTCAAATTGAAGCATCATTACAAGGTTGTCACATAAGATCTGTTTATATGTCAAAATCAGCATGCAGCAACGTCAAAGTACCTGCTGCCATCAGACCTATTACTGAACAGTGATGTCAGTGTGTAACACAAACTATTACAGGATTTCATAAATGGGCTCTACAACTCTGTCAACTTGACCGGCCTCACATGTGGCGTCTGCTGTGCCACTGACCCACTGATGGGGGGGATGAGGCCAGTGTGCAGATTGCAGAGCAGCTTATCATTCGGCGTGATTTATTAGAGCTTCGCTCATGCCGTTTCATTAGGTAGGGCTTGTCCAGCGGCGTAATAACCTGTCCCTAGTCTGAAGTGCAGATGGTCTCAGCCTAGTTGATGGAGGGAACAACCCTGTAAAATGGCATCTAATTTGTTTTTTATTCAGATCATTTTTTTTCTATCACAACTTTTGAACAGAAAATTCAGATAGCATTATTTTATCCAAACTGGAAAAATGCTTTAGCACATGTGCAGGTTACTTATATGCCTTTAACTCCTTTTTTATAAGCAAAAGCTGAGAAAAATAGCAGATTATTGGGAGAAAATAGATTCCTCAAATTAAAGGGGACGGACCTCGCATGCTCTCTGTGTTTGGCATCCAATATGAGGACTCCACAATGGACAGGACAAGTAGAAATGGTCTGTAATCCAAAATTTATAATCTAGGGATTACTGTGTTTGCAGCTGGCATGGCATCAGCAGCAAGGACCCCTCCCCTCCCCCTGCTGCCTAAAACAAACCCTGTGCAGAGTTTAGGGATTTCAGCTGAACTGGGTTAAAGTGCAAACATCAGCTAAATGATATAAGTCTAACTCACATTTTTTTTTTTACTCCAGTTTAATTTATTTTAATTGATTTTGGTTTCTCCAGTTTAATGCAGTAATGTCTCCGAAAGGCACTATGTGAGTAACTTTA